TGGCACATTTATCCATAAATGTCACCAAACTGTGCCAAATATGTTTTTTACATCAATACTGGGGGTTTGGTAAAATTACGAGGTCATGTAGCAGCTTGCCCCGCCGGTGGGTCCGTAGGGTTCAAGGGGTTAAAAGGCTGAAGCCTTTGTCATAAAGAGTGTGGAGGAATTAGAAAAGTACGGTTAAACAGTACAGTTAAAGGGGGACCCAAGGGTATGTTCCAACTACAGAGGAATCGCATGGGAAGTAATATTTAAATTTCAAATCATTCTGGCTTAAACATTTTATAAATGTACTCTTCAGACCATATTGTCCCAAAAGTTAGAAAATTTCAATTAAAAAACACCCACAATCCTGTCTTCAGATCCGTTTTGTCGTTATTTTATGCAGGCTAGTTAGTTATGAAAAAAATAAATAAAAAATCTCAAAGATCGTGTGCTGCTGTTTTAGAGATACTAAAGATCTTTTTTTGGGGTTAGAGAGACCAACTTAACCCCCCCTCATTTATTTCTGAATTTAATCTAAATTATCTAGCTTACTTTTTCAGTGCTAATTAATTTGTGCAGTTAAAACCGTTTGTGCAGATTTGCTTTTAAGAGAATGATTTTTAATTACAGCCAATTAAATCATCCCAGCAGACGTTAGTGCTGCACTCGTTTCGTGATTTAGTTATATTCAATACTATCACAGGAATGACATGTGATGTTGGGCAATAACAGTGTGGATGTTTTCCTTATTTAGTGGCTGTAATTATTTTTTTAATATTTGGCAAATCACCAGCCTTCCAGACCCTTCAGTTTGGACCTGCTGTTACCCCTCACAACCATCTAAAGCACTGGGGAGAGGGGGAAGAATCCACTTTGGTTCATCATATGCAGCATCTGATCAACAGTTGGATTCAGCTATAGTTCCTCATCTACCCACGCAGAGAGTCCGATGCTGGGCAGTGAGAGACCAGGGTCTGTGCTGGAGGTAGGAAGACCAGCAGTGCTTCAAGCACTAAAATAAAATGGCTTTTTTTAAAGTTACCTAAAAACTTTGAGGGCATTCCTCATATATAAACACTCACCTTTAACATTATTTATCTCTGTACTACATACAAAGTGGAAAAAAGGTTTGCCTACAACCAGTCCCTGATTGGTTGCCGAGTGGTGATTTCACAGAAAAGTTCAGCTCGTTTCAACTTCAGTGTTCACGGCTACTCTCTTTCCCAATTTAACCATAGCTTCTGCCTGGTGGGCTTCTTCACAGTACTGCTGTTCTACTTCCGGGCAGCAGTAGCCTAGGTTTCCAAAAAAGGGATATTTGGTTTGTATCCGACTTGTAATGTGCTTCATAGGATGGACCGCCACGCTAGTGAAATGGATTCAGCTCTGCAGTCCAGAGCCCTTTTCCAACACTGGATAGTGTTTTTACTGTTGAGCCTGTGAGAGGTGCACTGCAGGGATAGGAGCATCAGGCATAAGGATATATGTAGACAAATTGAAAACCGGATAAGGCTGACAGGAAGTCAGACAGAAAAAGTAGAACCAAAATGTTAAATCTATACATATAGTTTAGATGTCACAACTTTGTATGTCGGATGAACGATCAGACAATGTATGTGTGAAGCCAGCCACCAGAGTCTGGAAGCCACTGCTTAGGGTCTGTTTGCTGCCACACACCTGACTTGTATTTATGAGTGACAAACAGGTTTTTGCTCTATGGCTGCTGAGGAGGTCATTTAATTAATTCAACTCAGGTGTGCTGGAGCAGAGATGCATTCCCACAGCATAAACCAAAAGTAGTTTTCAAACAGCCATACAAAGGATTTAACACACCAGTTTTGCAATAAACTAATTTTTAACTTAAGTCCCCTCATAAATTAGCCGTTTTAATAATTTTACACAAAAAAACAAACAAAAAAAAAGCGATGAGTGCGAACTTCAAATGTGCAACATTCTCAAAACCCCTATGAGTGTGCTCGTGTTTTCACCTGTGGCTTCTGTGGACCGAGGCTTTTCTCAATCTGAGCTAAATAGGCCACGATGCTTCTCAATTTGTCCTCCAAGTTTGATACATTTGCAGTCAATCCTGGATACTTCGATTTCTAGGACAACAAAAAAAATAAAAAAACAACCAAAAAAAACAAAGTTACCCATGGCCTTATTTTCCAATACAGACCTAAGAAGTTTCCGTTTTGCATTATTTTAGAGATTCAGGGGTGCCACCCAAGGAAAGAAAAAGGGGTAATTTCATATTTGTTAGTCCAAGAGCCAATCCAAACAAAGGGAGGGGGCAAGAAAGGCAAATAACCAGATTCAGATGCATTTATGGCAATAGGAAACACTCAATCATGATGCAGACAAGCCTAGATCAGAGTGGATTATTTAAATATTGAGCTGAAATAACCTTAGACGAAAGCTCAGATTCTTCACGTAAAGCATGAAATACTTGGTTAGAAAAAAAGCAGAGTTGTTGAGCAATAGTGAATGTTTTCTCTAAAAGCTTATATAAACTACATACCACATAGTTGAAGCAATGAGTGAAGCTGGTGGAGTGGCTGGATGTTTTCAGTCTGACTGAACACAGCTGACAGTAGACCTGCTGCTTGTCTTCACAGAACACAATAACCAGCTGACTTACACCTAATGCATGAGAAATTCCACATTAAAAAATAACTCAAATAGATAAACTAAAGTTCTTAAAAATTAATTATACTTGCCAATTTTGGTAAGGCTTCTACTTAGTCCATTTGGAGTTACTTTGAAGGGCTTTTCAAGTAGCTTTGGGTTTTCAGAGTGTGCAGTTATGCCATCATTCAGTTTGGTACAAGGCGGTAAATTTCTCAGTTCTGGAAACATTCTTACATTTGTAGTGCAAGCTCTAGTACTAATGCACATT